TTTTCCAAACATGCTTGTGCTTTTCTTGCAAATGCCACCGCCGCCGCCGCCATGACCGATGAGCGCCACCGCCGCCGCAGCCTTGCGCACCGGCGCGGCCATCCTCGCCGCGCTCTCCGACGTGTCCGCCTGCCAAATCCACGCGCGAGCGCTGAAGCTCGGCGTGCTCCCCTCGTCTCTCCACCTTTGCTCCGCTCTGGTCAAGTCCTACGCGGCCTCCGGCAGCCTCGCCGCCGCGCGCAAGCTGTTCGACGAAATCCCCCGCCCGGACGTCCCGCTATGGAACACCCTGTTGTCTGCCTGTGCGCGTTCTGGGCTCCCCCAACACGCGTTGGTGACGGCGTCCACCATGGCGCGGGCGGGTTCTTCCCGGCCCGACAACGTCTCCGTCACGATCCTCTTGTCAGCGTGCGCGCGGCTGAGGAGCTTGGTGCATGGGAGAGAGATCCATGGCTACGCGGTGAGAAATCTCGCTGCTCTTGATTTGCCCTTGCTGAATGCTTTGGTCAGCATGTACGGGAGATGCGGCCGGCTGGTGAATGCGAGAATGGTGTTCGACAGCATAGGGAGTATGAAGAGCGTGGTTTCTTGGACTTGCATGATCAATGCTTGCTGCGAGAATGGAAAGCCAGCAGAGGCACTGCAAGTGTTCGAGCAAATGAGGCTTGCTGGGGTCAAGGTTGACGAGGTAACCCTTCTTGCAGTCATCTCAGCGTGCACAATGTTGGACTGCAGGTCAGAGCTGGGGGAGTGGGTGGAGGAGTATGCCCATGAAAATGGGTTCTTGGAGAATACCCGTGTCGCCAACGCACTCATACATATGCATGGTAAGATGGGGAGGGTAAGGAGATCATGTGAGATATTTGACTCGATCACTGTAAGGACAGTGGTCTCATGGACAGCCATAATTCAGGCCCTCGCCGTGCACGGGCATGGGGTGGCTGCGCTTGTCCAGTTTTCGCAGATGCTCAGACAAGGTTTCCAGCCTGATGAACTTGTATTCTTGAGCGTGATCAATGCCTGCAGTCACTCGGGGCTCGTCAATGAAGCGCGCCAATTGTTCAAGTCTATGGTTGAAGAGTATCACATCACACCTTGGATGGAGCACTATGGGAGCATGGTGGACCTGCTGTGCAAATCTGGTATGCTGGAAGAGGCATTTGAGTTCGTCCTGGCTATGCCAGTGAGGCCTGACCCTGTAATATGGCGTGTATTGACCGGAGCATGTCGGGATCTAGGAAATGCCATTCTCGCGAGGAAGGTGGTCGATCATGTGATCGAAATGGAGCCTGAATACGGGGGGAATTATGTGCTAGCGTCAAACTTGTATGCTGCCAATGAGGATTGGCGACGTGTTGTGGATGTAAGGATGGAGATGGGTGTGTGGAAAGAGACTTCAAGGTACAGTACTGCTCTGTCCTATGTTGAAGTCAATGTTGAAGAAAATGCTGAAAGCTTGCATCCTCCTACAAATGATGCATATAGATGAAAAATGATTGTTTTCAGCAAGTTATGGTCGGTCACACTTCAATTTTTAGGGACCATATATCCAATTTTGTACCTCAGGAGTCTCAAGGTGGTAAATTTGAATTTCTTCCTTTATTTCGTTTGATGAATTTGGGAACAAAATTTCATCAAACAACTTCATTGTTGGACATGCTGACCAAATCAGGTCATAATTGCATACATATATTTATTCCCCGTCGCATCTAAGTCTAACAGCTTGCTGATTTGATGAATTTGGGCACAAAATTTCATCTAACAGCTTGCTCATCCAACACCAACAACTTTGCAGCTCGGCAACAGCAAACGTCGCTTGCGCCGCAACTGCTTTTCTTAGCATCCCATTTGCCAGCCTTACATTCTTTTTGGCATGAAGCATTCGTGCAGTTCAGCCAAGTGAAGCACAACACGCCAGCATCGTCCAGAACACCTGCACATCATGAAGCACGGTGACCACCAAACAGTATCAATCAGTAAGTCAGATGCACTTCACTTTTCTGCATATCTGAATAAACATTGCAGCAACATAGACAGTAACAGAGAGAACAAGTACTACAGTAGTAGAAATGGATCTGGATAGGCCGGAACTTACCAGCATTATGCCTTCCTGTTGCATCGCAAGACATGAAAACAACAGACATAGCAAACAGAGTTGCAAAACACAGAACCATGGCACCGTTGTTCTTGATAGCCGCCATGAGAGGAGAATCGTTGCTGGTCACTGCCACAATGACAATATCCTCTTCATGGGATTTATAGGGACACGACTACAAGAGTATATCATCAAGAATCAATGCTTCCGTTTTTTGTTATCTCCAGCATTAGTTCTGTTCCTTATTTGGCATACTCAAATTAGGCTGGAGTTAATTAGTATCCATGAGTGACAGATGTTAGCATGTATAGCAATATTTATTGTAGTGGTGCCAACTGGGGGTATGTGGCATCATGCATGCATGCATTTGAGGAGCTTGTGGTGTCATAGTATAGTAGTGACATTTGCATGATTTGTGGAGTCAAGTGAAGTTATTACTGGCTTCAATCTAACGTTGCAAGAGGCTATCCCCAAGGGGTTTCTATAAGGACTAGCCCATAAAGAAATATAAAACAAAAAACATTGGATCAATTTTTTTTAACGAATCGGCGAGCCGTAAATTTCATTGAATAATTGGATCAATTTTGTAATCATGTGCATAGTCCATTTAACTGTAAAGATTAAATTGATAGTTTTTTTCTTTAAAAATCCAAATGAAAGAAAGATGAATGCATTGTAAACCCAAATATCACTAGTGTGGTGAAGTTTTACACTATGGCGTATATTGACCAGATGGAAATGCCGGTTACCTAAGGAAAGGAAGAAGGTGACTGATCACGTGATCAGTGGTGGTGATTGATTGGGACGCATTTTCACATAATTTTTGCTAGGAATCGTATGCTAAGCTAGCGTCAAAGCTGTATGCTTTCAGATGAGGATTGGAGACTGCAAGATGTGGCACTGCTCTGTGTCCTACTCTGAAAGTCTCAAGTCAACTGTGAAGAAGATTCAGAAAGGCTTGTCTCGTTGCATGCAGCGCCGGTAACTTTTCCAACTCTACAGCTTTGAAGTGTTTATTCATGCTCTTTTTTTTTTTTTGCTGGTATATTACTCTCTACTTAATTCTGAAAAGAAGAAGAAAAGAAGAGAAGCGACGCATGGCTAAAAATTTCTTATATTTACTTAAAAAATCTGGAAAATAAGTCTTCCTTTAAGTCACTTGTCACTAATTAGAAAAAAAAAGGAAAAAAGAAGAGAAGCATATCAATGTTGTCTATCATCTATTAAAGAAGTAATATATATTATGCTAACTTCATGTCTGAAGGAATAGTGATATTTTATATTCTGCATGACAAATTGTCAATGTTGCTTACATGAGATCATTTCGGGTACGACCGGTATTGTTTACTCCTCTTACGTAAGTTGATCTTCTACCTAACAAAGCAGTCAAAAATCTGCGTCAGTTGCTGAGAAAGTCCTCGCCTTCCATATCCGTTTCCCAACCAGTGGATCAGTGTTGCTTGCCACTGCCATTAAAATAACCCCAAAATTCAGAAAATTTGCTCAAAGCTAAGCTACCGCATGATAACCCTCAGAGACTTCACACATCTGTTATTCTGTTTCTCCTTTTCAGGTAAGAAAAAAAAAACGGCACCAAAGGAAAAGACCTCCTCGAGATATTATAACTAAGAAGAAGCACCTAAAACGGGCAGAGATATTTTGTTTCTCTTTTTCAGGTTCTGACTTCACTTTGCACTGTCAGTTTACCAAATTAGCGAATCTGCTGTGTGTTGGGATTCTTGATCATTCTGAGTGCCACACACTATAACCGTACAAGACCTGGCAAAGTCCTGAAATAGTTTTGTTGAGATGGACACTGAATTTCTGAACAAAAGTTTCAGTCACCTAAGCAAGCAGTAGCAGTAACCATGTTCAGAGATTCAGAGGTGGCTGCAACAGTTGGCCTAATAAATAAAAAAGCTAAATTAGTCATCAAGGGGCGCAATATTTCGAGGGTGAGTCAACTAACATCGATGACAATGCAAGAAAACGAGCCTCCAAGATTTCTCCAGATTGCCTTGAAGCTGATCAAGATTGGTTGGGTAATTTGCACGAACTCAGTACTTTTTTTAGATAACTGCACGAACTTAGTACTGGATACATGACAGATTAACAGGTGTTTTTTCCCTAATGAAAGAGAGATTCAGATTGCTGTCTGAATCTGAAATCTGAACAGCAAGGATACGGAAACTCTGAAAGAGACTACTCATCCAACTTGATGTAAGTACTTGATACTAATCTTGGTAAGGGCTGGAAGAATTGCCTGAAGATTGGCACATGTACGTTTTCCTCTTTGAAATTGTCGCCGGGTTATCGTCGTAGAACGCTGTATTCTATCCATTTTGACGAAGACGTGAAGAAAAACGGTGTCTGTAATTTTGTCCCAATTGAAAGAATACAGTGGCGTTGATGTTGTACTTGAACAATAATAATGGCTGCATATTTTGTGTAGCTTGTGTAGTCAGGTTCAGGTAACTATTTTAATCTCACGCATGCTTGCTTGAAAGGAGGAATTTTGTTTGAGAAAGTCCAATACTCCAACTCAATTAGGATGTTAACATTAACAATAATAAATTCAAGCAGAGTGACCTTTATTTAATATTAGTTAACACTAATGGGTGACCACAATCATCTTGATAAATTAATTCAAAGAATTATCATCTTGAATAATAATTAATTAAAAGAAATTATCTGGCCACTCAGGTCAAGCAAGTTGGGGTGTCCCACTTGCACGTCAAAGTCAAAAAAGATTCAGACTAAAGACGGCAAGCTGTTGGAACGTCACCTAACCTACCGGCTATTGTTGAACATTTCATATCTATGGGTTTATGTGTTCTTTGTAGAAAGTTTCTACCCAAAAAAAAAAAACGCCTCTCCTTTTTATTTTATCAAGAAACTCCTCCAATTTAACAGTATGGATAAGTTGCTAGATAAGATAGACCAGATGATCCGAATCCAATCCAAACCAACATTACAAATTAGATTATATTTACACCTTTTGGATATACAAACAACAGAAAACTAACTTTGTAAAGAAAAAAAAATCCAGAAATTATCATCTTCTACTACTACTACTACTACTACTACTAAGAAAAGTAACAAGAAAATAAAATAATAAAGAGAAAAAAGATTAAAAAAGAGGAAGAAAAAAAATGTTCAGGCCTCGGTGCTGCGAGCGGAGGAGCTCCGCATGGATGCGCGGCCGAAGGACTCGTCGATGCGATCCAGCCGCGGCTTCCACGCCGCCGGCCGCGCCGCCGCCGCGAGGTAGCACCGTTCCGGCGACCCCGAGCTCGCCGCCGCCGCCGCCGGCTTGGAGCTGCTGCAGGAGGAGGAGGGCTGCGGCGGGTGGTGAATTCCGGCGGTGAAGAGGGCCTCGACGGGGCTGGAGGCGGCGGCGGCGCCCTTGCGGGCGAGGGAGGTGAGGCGGTTCATGAGGCAGGCGAGGTCGACGGCGGAGGACTCGGACTGGAAGATGGACTGCGGGAGGAGGAAGTACACCGTGCCGGCCTCCAGTGGGTCGTCCGCCCTGAACGGCCCCCGCCCCGGCTGCAGCAGGTGCGCCGACGAGCACAGCACGTACCTCCCCTGCCCCTGCCCCTCCCCCGCCGCCGGCTTGCCGGTGACCTGCCCCACCGTCACCGGCGCGTCGAAGTCCTCCACGTAGCCGTTGATGTGGATCACCCTCACCCCCTCGAACGGCCTCAGCGCCCCCGCCGACGAGAACGCGCAACCCATCGCTAGAGCTAGCTATGGAGATCGCGACGACGATGGCGACGACGACGACGACGACGAGGAGGAGGAGAGCGAATTAATTGAAGGCGCGAGGAGTGGAAACTGTAGAGGAGGGGGGAGATATTTATATGGAGTAGATAGATAGCGTTGGGATAAGCTACAAATTTTAGTATTTAAAACAAGTGAAGAACAAAAGTGTATATGTATCTATGATGTTGGTATTTATTTGCCATTTATTTGTAGGTAAATATGGTCAAATGGACATCGACTGGCATATTTACCTTCGTTCCATAATAATTTTACTTTTAGGATTCAAATCTATCTTAAAATAATTGTTAAATAAAATATTAATTGTCTCATAATTACTTCTCATTTAAAATTATTTTTATTTTATTCTTAACTACCCTTCCACTTTTACTTATACGTCATTTAATGAGGGGTATTATAGTTTTTATCTCAAACCTTAATATATGCTAAATAACATAGACTTGTAATTATTTTACAACGGAGGTAGCTAGTATCCAAAACTACAGCGGAAATTATGTGCCGTAAGCACGTCAGTTATCTGTGGTTCCTGCTGTAAGTGGCATTGTACTGTAGGATAGGGTGTAGTACTCGTGAGCTTTTTGTCAATGTGTAGGCCGTTTATCCGAGTATTCTCTCTGTCTTAAAATATAAGGGATTTTAGATGGATGTGATATTTTCTAATCCTATGAATTTGGATATACTCTATATCCAGATTCATTGTACTAGGAAATGTCTCATCCGTCTAAAATCCCTTATATTTTAGGATGAAGGGAGTACTATCCGGTGTATCAACCAAGTGAGAAAAAGATATTTTTATGAAAATATGTATGTCAACAAAGTGAAGAAAATATATTTAAAAGTAAAATTTGTTTGTTTTCCTTAGTAATCATTGGGCTTACCATGGGAAAAGGGTAATCCCTCACCAAAGACCCTGGTGTTACCTAATTATGGACTTTACATATGTTGTGACAGTTTTCAAAATGTATATTTAGTCACTAAATTTTATTATAAGAAATTTAAAAATCTCATGAAGTTATGATTCTAATGCCATAAGTTTTTCTTACAATTTAACTTCAAACTTGTTCAAGATGACATGTTATTTTTTATCATTTTCTGGAACAAGATTGTCGATGTCCCCAATGTAGCCGGATCCGGTTTGCAACAGAGAGATACTTTGTTTGTGCCGATGGAAATTACTCCATTGGCTTACTTGACGTCTTGACGTGTTGACCAACGACATGGCCAAGCTTCGGCTTGGACTCTTGTTGGTTGAAACGCTCAAATCAAATGTGACTAACTCAAATTACACGCGTTTCTACACTTCGCTGATCACATATTCATACAACAAAGTGGTAATTAAGTCTAAAATTAGCTGACAACTTCTCTCTGTTTAACCAGCCAGCCACTGCACACTGATCAGATCAAGATATATACAGCACAACATTACTGATATTATTATATACATACCTGCTGCATTAATTTTTCTTGGACCAAAATGCTCCATTAATTTTGACTTAGAAATACATGCGAGCTCATGAGCTCGTCAGCTTCACTTCACAGAGACGACCATGGCGGCATGGCACTCACGTTGTCGGCACCTGCCGACCTAATTCTCATTCATTCGTTCAGTTTTTTTTTCCTTCTCTGACCAAAAACAAGAAATTCAGTTTTGAGTGTAGCTCGACAAAGATCGATAATTCAGTCAGAGTTTTCACGGACGGTGTTTGTCTGAATCTCTTCACCTCTTCACCAAAACGACATGTTTTTGTTATGGGTGTGATGTGAGTCCTTAACTTCTCATGGAGAAATTGATATGATTCTTTGTATTCGCTTAAGACATCATTGGTCGATGATTTCAGAGAACCCGGTTAATTGATTCAGACAGAAATGGTTTCTTTGTATCCTTTAAAACATCATGGTATGCATGTGTATACTGTTAGTCAGATTAAGCAATGGCAACTCAGTCTTTGTTTAATCATACATATGTACTCCTATTTACCGCTACTGATTTGATTCTCATCTCTGATGAAACAATAATGACCTTCTATCAATGGAAACCACCGGCGGCAAAGCAAAACGGCGGCCAGTTTCAGAGTTTTTCTCTGAAACATACGGCTGTTTTTTTTTTCATATCGTACAGTACATAGTCCTTTTGCAGATCATATGTGCCTTTCAATCTGTCATTGCAGTTCGTTCCTTCTTGACTATGTATGCATCCATATGTTCGTGGTGACCCACTCGGGCTAGCTGAAAGTCTGAAATAAAGTAGGAGTAGTAGTATTCATTGACTTTAATTTTAATATTCAGAGAAATATAATACAACGATCTCTCTGACTTGCGACTTGTTGATATCAGAAATTAGTATACTACTGTTGCCTGTCCAAGTATTCAAGGAAAAGAGTAAATTGCGTTCACGATATATAAACTTGTATGGTGGGTGCAAATAGGTACAATAACTTGTAAATTGCTTATTCCGGTACAATAACTTGGCTAGTTCATGCAAAGATGGGCCAAACCAATCCACACAAGTAAAATTGATGTAATATGATACGTACTAGTGTGTAATTATTGTTACACATCAAAATTTTTTACTGACACATATTATTAGTCGCATGATACTTTCAAGATTTAGACCAACGAAAAAGCAAAATAATTAAAAATACCTGATTGTTAAAATACACTTTCAATGAAAGTGTCAGAACATGAACATGAAAATTAAAATTTTCTTTTAGTAGTTAATAGTACATATAACAATTGTCTTGGTCTTGAACAGACAAATAAAAATTAGACGAGTTATATAGATGATCAAATTTTTCCAAAAAATGAAACAAATATTGTACCCTGGACATGAAAAATAAACTTTTGCACATTTTTATTTGGATTCGAAATAAGATCTCCAAATCACAGTTATATGTATATGCTGTTATGTCATTAGTGTGCACTAATTTAGAGCAATTTTACTTGTGTGGATCATTTTGGCCCAGTTCGCACCAACTAGCCAAGTTATTATATCAAAGTGAGCAATTTGTAAGTTGTTGTATCTATTTGCACCCACCACACAAGTTCATGTACCGTGAGTGTAATTTATGTTAGAGTAAATTACATGTCAAAATAATCCACACAAGTAAAATTGCTCTAAACAGTATTTTAGAGCAATTGGGAAAATTTTAGGCATCTGATTTCACAATGAATGGACAAGATCGTTCCAGCACAGCACCTATAAACAGTATTTTACTGTGATTTTCACTGTTACTACGGTGCCTACGCTGTAATAACGGTAAATTCTAGCATGAATGCAAGTATAAAATGGACGATTATAAAAACACATGAACGATCTTTTGATTAGATCGCATGAAAAATATAGGAATCGGTGTCGCTCTTTGTTTCAGCGATACCGTTCGGTCTCGCTCGTTCTTTCCGCGAGAGCGCGCGGTCTCGCGCGGCTTTCGCCGCGCGATACCGCCCTCGACGTCACGTCTACGCTATTTTCGCTCAATGGTTATGCGAGATCGACATCCTGAATATTCCTGAAATAAAATTGAATGTGCGGTATATTTTCAAATTTAATTCCCTCGGCACCACCCCTGCCGGCAAGCATGACTCAGTGACTCCTCGTCTCTAATGTGTGGGAGGATGGGGGGCAATGTTGGAAGGGAGAAAAAAATTAACTGGCCTTGTGTACCTTTCCAAATCTTCCCCATATAGTAGTCCTTCATTTTGTGGGTGGAAGGTAAGATTCAGCAGCACACATCTTGACACACACGGACGGCGCAGATGAATTCGGGCTTACTATATATAATATACACACATACATGTCTTTGTCCTAGGGGTGTAATTTTGACAAACATGAGGCTTTGTATCATATGTGTAATTAATTTGACTCTAAGAGAATTCAGTTGCATAAGTTGAACTCTTGTGTGAAAAGGTGTAAAGTTGATTTTGTTTTCTTTCTTTACAATGGGCTTGGATCAGGTTGGGTTTAGTAGGCTAGATATCTCTCCTCAGCTGAAAACTCACGATGCCGACGAACAGATTAATCAAATGTATATATACAATGTGTTGTTCATATATAGTCCTTGCAAGTCCACTATGTGTATGTACCTTTGAATCTATCATTTCTGTCAGTTCCTTGTTGATATGTTCACGGAGAGCCACTTGGGCTAGCTGAAAGCCTGAAACAAGGTAGCAGCATTCGCTGACTTTAAATCTTTAATATGCAGAGAGATATAATTATTTCTCTAATCGACTTCAACTTGTTGATATCAGATATTAGGATACTAGCTATTACTCCTTCCTTCCCTAAATATTTGACGCTGTTGATTTTTTTAAACATGTTTAACCGTTCGTCTTATTCAAAATTTTTTATAAAATGTGTAAAACTATATGTATATATAAAAGTATATTTAACAATAAATCAAATGATAGGAAAAGAATTAATAATTACTTAATTTTTTTAAATAAGACGAACGGTCAAACATTTTTTAAAAGTCAACAACGTCAAATATTTTGGGATGGAGGGAGTATCTATTATTGCCGGTTCCACTCGTACCGACCACGCACATACATATGTGCATGATGTTGGGGAATTTGTTGATTAAATTAGGCTGGCCGGGAAAGGAAATGGCAAAGACATATACAGGGAGATTGCAGAAATGCTACTAACATGTAACTCAGAAAATGCTACACAAACAGCAACCGTGTACTATATACATACATCATCATCATGCTTTTCTGAATATATATATACATACATGTCTTTGTCTCAAGGTCAAGGGTGTAATGATGACAAACATTAGGCTATTTTTGGGTCTCAGAGGGTGTAATTTTGACCCAGTAAGTCGATTGCATAAGTTGAAATTTTTGATCGTTGAAAAGGTGTTTCCGTAAAGTTGAGTCTCTCTTCTTTTTTTTTTCAAGATTAACCTTAGGGTACTCTCTCTAAAACACGACAGAAATAATCTTGACACTCAGAAATAAATGTATTTAAATCGCGCGTTGAAGCTTTTTTCATTCTTCTCACAAGCATCAGGATATATGGCTACAGTGAAGGGAATACACGCACGCTCATAGAAGGTGCAAATAGCTAGCTATTCACCAACTTTCGGTTCAGGAAAAAGCGAAAAACCATGC